CACAGTGACCATGGAGCGCCTCACCCTGGAGGACGCAGGCTCCTATGGGTGCCGGGTGGACACACCATGGTACGAAGGCTTTGTCCCGTTCTTCGAGGTTGAGGTGGCCGTGCAGCCAGGTGAGCCCCTCCCACCAGCAACTGGGCTGCCTGGACCTGGACACCTGGGGAAGAATCAGAAAGCAGCAGCTGGAACCTGGGAGGGAGTCCAAGGGGGGGAGCAGCCCACAGCCCGCCCAGCCCTGAGGAGCTGCCAATCAGGGAAGGAGGCGGGAGCAGAGCCTGCAGGGGAGAGAGCCAGTGCCCACCCTTGGCCCTGGGGACAGGGACAGGCAGAGCTCTGTGTGGACACCCAGGGCGGAGCAGAGGGGCAGAAGTCCAGGATGGTGCAGTGGGCAGAGGCAGCACAAGTGACAAGTGGTCTTTGCAGTGAGATATCCCTGCAGCCTGTGGCTGTGATGGGAGGGGGACGAGTCCCGGTGTGGGGAGGTGACCCTGGGGGTCTCAGGAGGCCATGGCCCTCACAGCAGGACGGAATCAGCCCTGCTAGGGGTGGAACCTGTGTCCTGTACAGAATTGTCCCCAGGGTCCTGGGGAGACTGGCCTTGGGCCACCGCCTGCCCCCTTCCTCAGTGAGCATTTGGCATGAAATAAGGCCCAAGGCATCCGCCAGTGGTGGGCGGGTTGCAGGACAGACCTCTGGGTGTCATTGTAGATTTGCCACCAGCAACCTCAGGGACACTTACAAGTGTCACGACAGCGAAGACCTTGACAACCACAAGCAGAGCCCAAGCTGCACTGTCCACCAGCCTGGCCACAGAGAGTGCCACCCCTGATCCCAGGAGCCAGGACCTGTACCATGGCCAGGGCCCAGGGTAAGCGTCCTGTCCCTGACTGGGGTCTTCTCCACGGGGGCTGTGTGGTCACTCGGGGGAGGGTGTCACACCCCTGCTGGCCCAGGCCTGCTGACCCTTGGCCCCAGGCCCAGGTTGGAAGCTGCACTCTGTGTAACCTGGTTTGGGTCACTGAGGCCACCACACTGGACCTGCCCCAGGCTTCAAGGGAGGCTCAGACCAAGGAGGGGCTGGCAGAGGGGAGGCAAGTGTCCAACAATGAGGGCTGGGGCTGTCCTGCCGGATGCCCAGAGCCCCACACACTGTCGTCCGTGGCTCCTCACGATGACCCCAACTTGGTCCCATGCACATCTAACAGACTGCAAGGAGAGGTTGTGTCACCTGTCACATGGGCACAGGTGTGGGGCTGGGCTGGGCCTGCATGACCCCACAGTCTGGGGGTCTCCACTATAATTTGAGTGGGTCTCTATCTGGGGGTGTCGTCAACCTCACAGAGAATCTGAGCACATCTGTGGACTCCTCAGAAAAATGAGAGCAGGCACAGGCCATTTCTGGGGGTCATGGCCTCCCCACTCTGACCTCACCCAGGAGGCAGTTGGCTCCTCGTGCTGACCACTGCAGTCCATGCAGTCCCACAGGTTAAGGGCTCTGAACCCAGGACCCCACCCGAAGACACCAGCTGCACTTTGGGGCAGCCCAGGTCCCAGCACGTCTGACTAACTGGCTGCAAACGTGGGGCTCCCGTGGCCCCTGGGGGTCCGTGATTCATAGACTCAGAGCTCTGCAAAATAATACGTAAGAATACGGCCATTCCCTCCCTATAAAGGCAAGGTGGAGGAGAGCGTGCTCTTGGTGATTCCAGGATATAGAACAGGGTGTCTGTGTGCGCACAGGCCTTTGTGAAAGCAGGCTTCTGGTGTGTGTGTGTGTGTGTGTGTGTGTGTCCGTGCATGCAGACACCTGTGTGTGCACACACAGCACACCTATGTTGTTCCAGTGTCTCCGTGGACCCCACTGTAACAGTCCAGGTCTAGAACCTTCCAGGAGTGGGGTGGGACTGGCTGTTGGGTCCCTGGCTTTT